TTTTCAGAGTCAAGAAAAATACATAAAAACAATATGCTCTAAAACACTTTTTTTTTATTGTTGGTAGAAAGTACTAGACATAAGGAAGGGTGGTTTGTTTTTACATTTTATGTATTTCACTTATTCAGCCACAAGATCAAACTACTGAACTGTTACCTTAACAAGTATACATCTCTGTGTCAAAGAAGGCTGTCGGGACTTTTTCCACACAACTGACTTCCACATGAAATTCATTTATTTAATCCCTTGAACAGTCAGACACCTTTCCCTAGGACTTGGGAAGCAGCAGATGAAAATAGCAGGTCATAAACATACATTATTTTTACTACCTGTAATGAACTTCAAATTAGCTGATGGACCTAAAAAAAAAAAAAAAATCTACCTGAAACGCTTAGCAAAGTCTGAAAGACTAAATATGACTATAAAAAATGAAAAACTTGCTCTCACATACTTAAGACTATAATTTGAAAAGAGAGCCATCAGTACAGTTGAGTATATGGTGTTTTACTGAGAACATTTTCTAGGGTGAAAATACAAAGCAACAGGGTCGCACCAAGAAATAACCGCGGTCAAATCAAGTGCTGCTGAATAAGAACAAGAGGCATTTGAGGGAAAAAAGATACTAAAGGGCAACATTTACTTTTTTGCCTTTAATGTGAACTCTAAAATGTGGCCAATTATGCTCCCTATTTGCTTTTGGGTAATAAACTTACAGCATTTTGAAGTAGAAAAACATCCTCGAGACATTCAAAAGTGACGTTTTAAGACAAGTCATAAACCTTTCCACAAAAATTCACATTCCACCTCACACAAGCGATCCATCTTTAAGGCTTTACCTTTTGCCGCCCACTTGTAAATTAATCTCCTGAACCAGTTCAGCTGCGCCCTGGGAAGCCTCCTCACCGCCGAGCCGACTTTCCCTCCTCTCCGGAGCGGCGGCTCAAGCAGCTCTACTCTTCTTTTTTAATTCCCCCCCCTCTCCTTTTAACACTTACAATAAGAAACTTGGGAACAGCGGCGGCCGGCCATTCTCAGCGGCGGGCAGAGCGCGGGGCCGAACAACAACAGGCAGCCCGCGCCGCCCAGCGCTG